GTCACAGTCAGAGAAACAGGACTACACTGAAAAACAGGCCATTCTCCAACATCTATAAACAAAGATGTTTATCACAGCTGATATTTCTCTCCAGGATGGAGTCACAGGGTAGAGAGGGCTGGTTGTTTTATGAAACCTGCTGAGGAGCTGGTTCAGATCATTCCCCCTTTCTCAGAATCCTTTGGTGTTCTGCCACAGCTGGTCGTCCCTCTTCCTCCTGTTGGTGTTTTATCAAAAGAAGCTTATGTTATTGTGGTAAAACTGATTATCTAGTGCATTCTTACTAGACTGAGTTTAGTAACTTTCTCTCATTCTCTCTTCAACAGGGCTGTTTCTTTAAATGGTTTGGTTGACAGGAAGTACCTTCATTTGAAAAACCATCCATTTCTCAGTGGAGATGGAGAGCAAGCCAAGGATGTGCTTTTCCTTTTCAATGGGATGGAGAAGATGCAGGTGGACTTTAAGATTGGTTCCTCCGAGCTTTGCAATAACCCCAATGAGCCTCTTCCACCAAGTGTAATCATTGTGAACCTGCTAAGGAAATACCTACTTCCTGAGGTAAGCCATTGCTGTTTTCTAGCCTTGGGTTTTTTGTTCTTCTCTCAGACTTAAGAATTCAACTAGACGTTGCATTTTCTATCCTCTAAAAATAAAAACCTAGACCTAATGTCGAATCATTATCACTAGAAAAGAAAGGTGGGATGCACCGATTTTGCCCAGTTTTGATCTATTTTCAAATTTTTTTTTTAGAATGAAAGAAATCATCATTTGTTTTCATTTTTCATTATAAGAAAAGCATTAGATTTATTTTCAATCCCTAAGTGAACCAACCCGGCCCAGATTAGAGCTGCTGATGTCAGTTCTCCCTTGGCGAGGTCACATTCCAGTTTAAGCCAATAGCAAAAAACAGATTCAGTTTCCACTTTTTAACCCGACAAAGACCACAAGCAGGCAGTTGACTGTAAGACACAAAGAATTGTAACAAATGTGATTTAAATTGTTAAAATAATGCCTGAGACATGTAGACTGCACTATTAGACATGTTTTATACAGTTTTTCAACAAATAAAGTTAATTTATTTGTGAGTAATAGGCTACATGCACACAGCAGCCTGAAGTGACCCAAATGCGATTTTTTTTTTGCCCATATGCTACCTGGATCTGTCTGAACAACACAGATCCGTTTTTTTCCAATGCAATCCAGGACACTTGGCTCTGTGGTCCTGAATCAGATATGAATCTGATCTTTTTAAATGCAACCTGTGTTGAACGGCCAGGTCGCATTCATCCGACCCGAACGTCATTAATACCAGACAAAGGTCACTATTCTATGTCTTGTGATGCAGAAAAGCAATCATGGCAGATGATAATGCAGGGAGCAGTATTTATATTTAACCATATTGAAAAGATTGTGTTTTTAAGGTTGGAAAAGATCGCTAGATGTGCTCCAGATCTACCATCCATGTTTACTTCCCTAAACACAGAGCATGCTTGCTTGTGACGTCATTATATCTTCTACTATGCATGCTTGACACTTAACTGTTGTATGAATGCAGTTCACACAGGAGATCACATACAAGTCGCATATATTTGGAAATGTGAACAGCAACGCAAAAAAAAATCGGATTTCACAAAAAAAAAATCTAAATTATGCATTAAGGCCTGCAGTGTGAACGCAACCATAAAGATGAGCAGTATCAGGTAGAAGCAGCCCATTCTAAAATTGGGCCATTGCAAGGTGAAACCAGAAGCCTCATGTTAAATTAAAAAACCTACATCGCCATGTTTCACGTATAGCTCAGCATGTACAAAAATAAAATTTCCCTGAAAATATTCATCAGTCTGTGTGCCGAGAGGCATACAATGCATATGAATCATCAGAGGGCTGGATCAAGTTTAAAGCAACCAAACATCCATAAACTGCTGTAGTGTCGAGAAACAGGACAGATGGGGCCAATATTCAAGGTGTGGCAGTCAGTAGGAAAGTTAAAAACGTTTATTAAATGAAAACAAACAAAACTAAAACTAAAGTGGAGCTGCTAGGAACTGCGGCTCGCGGATGCTGCAGGGAGCGTGGGGTACCGCCGAATCACCAACACTCTGTAGGAGAAACACAGGTAAGTCACCATGATCATCTGCAGAAGAAGATGAGCTCAGTGAGTCACTTACCTGGTTTAGCAGGTTAGTCCATCACCCTTGAAGGGGGCATGATTCAGCCAATGGGCTGACAGCCAGAGTGTTTCCCTGGTGCTGCAGCTCCGGAGGATTAGCAGGAAACAGATCCTGGTCAGGGATCAAGCAGGAACAGACAGGTGGCAGGGTCCAGGTTTCCAGGCATCAGAGAGCTCCCAGGCGGGTTCAGAGTCTGACAGGGTCCGGAAGCGTGACCAGGCGGTCACGCACAGGAGCAGACAGGATCAGGTGCTGACGGGCAGGCTCAGTGTTAGAGGGTAGCAGAGACAGGACGTGGAACCAGAACTTGATGCAGGACCTTTAAACTGGTCTCCTCCTTGGAGCCAGGCTTACAGAGATAAAAACTGAACCTCCCTGCGTAAAGAACCAAAAACCCAAAGGACTCAGCAGGGGAGGAACAGTGGACGATCAGGCGACGAGACAGACACAAAAACCCTCTTTCCACTGGTTGCCATGATCCATGAACCGTGGAATAAAACTGAAAACACTCATACTTACAGGAAAACAAATGTATAGCTGACAAAAAGCAAATAATTATCTGGCCCCAAATGCTCAGGCTGAACAGAATATAAACCAAAGGAAACATGTGAGAAGAATAAATGATAATTACAGCAGGGAGGAAAAAGACAGGTGAAAGAAATAACCAATTAAGGAAGAGCAAACATGCCAGATCATGACATGCAGCTGTTGCACTGCTTAAGGGGGCACAAGTTTCTCCCTACCAACAACATTTAGAGTGAAATTATCGTGAAAACTTCACACTCTTTATGTGGGAGGCCCCAGATATCAAAGAGAAAAAGACAAATTTCACAATTCTGTTTCAGGCGAGCTGGGATGACTAGAATCAGGCCACAATAAAGCTTTTTCAATTCAAAATGTCAGAAATAGCGTTGAGTTCAATGCTTTATACAGCAGCCCAACAAAGCCTTGTTTTTGTTTAGACAACATGCAAAGTGAAACTGACGAACAGGTCCACCCCCTTTTGAATGGGGGTCATTTGGCTTCTTTTGTTGGCCAACAATGCCCCATACCTGTTTATGTCTCTGAAAGGGGGAGTTAAAGGGAATTGTTGGCCTGGCTGAATAGGGGATGTCTTCTGTTTCCCTGTACAGGGTTTTGGGTTGCGATGATAGCGGGAAGGGATCAGCTCTATCACTGCATTGTAGGTGTTTGAAAGCTGAAATCTGAAATCTGTTTCTTAATATAGATGACTTCCTTCACGCCCGCCTCAAACCACCTATTTTTTTTTGTCCAAAATGTGAACATCTGGTCCTCGAAAGAATGTCCTTTGTCCATAAGGTCTAGATGTACTGCTGAATCTTGTCCCGAGGAGGGCGCTCTTCTGTATGGGGTCATGCGTCTGTAGAGAGGTTGTTTGGTTTCACCAATATAAAGATCAGAGCATTCCTCATTGCATTGAACTGCATATACCACACCGCTCATATTTGGTCTCGGGGTTTGGTCCTTAGGATGCACTAGTTTGTGTTTAAGGGTCTTGTTTGGTTTGAAATTATACAATTTGGATTTTGTGTTTGGATCCAAACACAACTCTATTTGTGACATTTGAATTGAAAAAGCTTCCTGGATGGAAAGAGAAACAAACTTGGAAACAACAAAGTCCAGTGCATTGTTTTTTTTTTTACTTTTTTGGGAATTGCCTTTATGCTTTGTAACTTAGGTCAGTTTAGTTTGGTTTTTCTTTTCAAAGTAGTTTGATGGAATTTCCTCCTGCAGGAACCAGTGGAACCCAATAAGCTTTGTAGGCCTTCTGACTCACACATCTTTTTACTCAACATAAGGATTTTCTACGGGACTAACATCAGGACTTTTGTTGTTCGCTCCTAAACTTGCACTTTTTTCCTTGTCTGGATCTTATCTGGCTGTGGTCAGTGCCAGCCCATTGGTCGGGCTCAGGCCTTTTGTATTATTCTGTGCTCTTAGCTGCCATCTTTACGAACTCTGACTGATTGCCATGGTTACGGTTTGTGTGGGTGGGGCTTTTGGGAAGCGGGGGCATAGAAAGCCAAAAGAGCTATTTCGATGATGACTGAATGAGGAGGTTCCTGGTACACATTGTCTGTCTAATCTGAGTGGATAAAACATGCTCTGGGGGCCTCATTGTTAATATATTTTATTTTAAAATGTAACATAAAATGGGACCTTTGAAAATAAATGCATGAAAATTTAATCTGATTGACTTAGTTTTCAAATTAAAATCTGTGAATGTTGTTTGTGCATGTAGCCATAATGATCAAACCAAAACACATTTGCATTTGTTACAGAGAAGCATGATCCCTTTAATAATGGAACCTATTTTTTCCTCTTTCAGTGAAATAGTTCTCACGCTCTTTACGTTTACACACAGTAATTGCCAAACTCTATAAAATCACTCCATCAGAAATAATCTTTTTAATCTAATAAAGGCAGAAAAAATGTTACAAGCTACAAGTGCTGAATTCCTTCTGCTGGTCATTGTTCTAGCTCTGTCTGCAGAAAAAGAAATGAAAACAGAATACCAGCATAAATCCTCTTGGCTCCATTCTCCAGTTTCAAGGAAGCACAGACCTATAACAGATCAGTTAAGACTGTGGGCCTGATCTTTGGAGTTTTTGTGTGTCTTAAAACAGGCGCAAACATGTCAGAGCAGATGTTCAAAGAAGGTGAAAAGCAATTTGCAATTCTTCAGAAAGCTTGCGCAAATCTTAATTTGCAAATCATGTGTCACACTCAGAACAGTACGACCCAGTATTTAAGGTAGACAGACAGATTTTTCAAAGAGTTTATTAGAAACGGAACTGCAGTGATCGGTGTCTGTATCTAAGGCAGGAACCTCTGCAGGAAGTAATGTTAGAGACCACGTCTATCTGGGGAGGATGATAATGAACGTTTTAGTCACAAACCTTGTCTTATAGTTCAGTCTGTGCACAGAGGATGAGCTTGGTTTTAGCTGGTCGGCTGCCAACAAGAGGCGCCACACAGAGAGTCCTAGACGCTGAAGTCCCGTAGGTCGGAGAATAAGAGATTAGAACCGAGCAGACAAAGGTAGGATAATTCAAAAGGCAAAGCCAAAGCCGGTGTCGAGGAAGTGCTTGGAAGTTAGAGCCAGGAAATCAGAGTTCTGAAGAGGTGCTGACGGGAAAACCAGAACGATGTGAAGAATCAGTTCTAGGTTCGGTTATAGACAGGCAGAAATCCAGCAGGAGCCCAAAGACAGGTCAGGCACACAGATCAGAATAGGGTCAGGCGGGATCAGTGGTCCAGAGGCAGAACGGGTCAGGCAAGCAGAAACATAGGTATGCTAGAGAACTCTCAGCATAGGCCTGAATAATCTGGCTCTGATGACTGGTCTGAAGGCTGGTTAAATAGAGGCTGAAGCAGGTGGATCAGATGAGAGGTAATGAGAATTGGGGGGGAGATAGGTAGGTGAATGAAAAGAGTAATCAGAGCAGCCATCAGGGCCAAGGTCAATAAAGCATATGCAAAGAGATTTTCCCAATAGGAAACACAAATGCAGTTGGAGTTTGAATGTTTAAACTTAGAGGCCAAATGTCTACCATCAGTGGCCTCAAAGGAAGCATTGGTACAATGGCAGAGAATGGAGAGATACTCTGTGCTCAAACCTATTTGGACTGACAAAAATAATATTTGTGGTATAGTAATAATAATAAAGAAAGAACATCTACTCAGGCCGGCACAGAATAATGCAATATTACTGCAGATGATCCTTTCACAATCAAACCAAACGGGGAAAAAAACTGAACTTAATTATTGTGGCATATTTATTAAAAATAGAATATCAAAAGAGCCTGCATTTTTTCTACTTTGATTAAAGGATAACCATGCAAAAAGCACTGTTATGTGTTTTACTCTTTTTCATAGCACTTTGATATTGTTAAGTGTTAGCATTGTTATCTTTTTAAATCATTCTCACATTACCTGCATCTCCATAGCTTTATACCTCATCTTTCTTTTACATCCACTCTCAAACTGTCAGTAGAACATGGAATCTGCTCATTCTAAATGGCAAAACCAAACAGTTTTGTACTTTTTCACATTTGCTCGGTAATCTTTTTAGATCACTTGCAACAAGCCCAATCAGGGCTCGATGTTAACCATTGCCCGATCGCCCGATCGAGTACCAATTTCATTGCATTTGCCCGCTGGGCAAGTGCAATGATCGCAAAAAAATATATATATCACTCAAAATTACTTTAAAATCACCGATATTCGCTGAAAACGACCCAGAAGCGTTGCCGGCGCCATTTTTGTTGTTTTGTAAACATTCTCGCGTGATTTGAAAAAGCCGCGTGATGCCGTGATTTTTGTCCGGGAATTGGTGCGAATCAGACAAATTTTTTTCGACTTGGCAGGCTAAAAAACAACAAGGCAAAAAAATGTAAGGGTTATAGGGCCAGACGACCAGGATTCAGCTCTTGGGGAGAGAATTCTGCAGAGCAGCAGCTGGATGATGAATTTAATCTATACTATAATACACGCTAGATTAAAAATGATCAGTCAGGGATTAGGATAATAATAATAATAATAACTGTATGCGCACTGTGTAAGTATTTCTATCATATGGTAGTCTTCTGTACAGCGGTCATACGTTAAAAAATGTTCATACATTTTTTTTCTCTTAGACATTGGAGTGGTGCATTTAAATGTTATAGAGCTAAACATGATAAATTGGTGAGTAGTAGTAGTGTAAGTTTTTAACCTTTCAAGTTTTTTTTTACATTTTTAACATTACAATTTATATTTTTCCAAGCACACAACAGTTTAAAGCAAAGTTTAGTTTGAAAAGAATGTGCAGGAAGGATTGAAAAGCATGTTAACACGGTAATGTAGGCTTGAGTTCATTATCTGACGCATGCAGATACACACCTGTAAACTTAAAAAATACTGAATTAC